GATAGCTTGCCACTTTCCAGAGCACCGAAAAACAATTAAATCTGGAGTTAATTGTTTTCGAAGCCCTGAAGCAGACAAACAATTAAAACCTGATTTAATTGCTTTGCTTAACCAAGCATACACCTGCAAGAATTAACTCTAGATTTAATGTTTTTCGGGTCCTGGGGTTCGGACCCTGCCCTTGACGGACAATTAACTCCGGATTTAATTGCTTTTAACTCTTGTTTTCATTGCCTTCCCATGACACAGGACCCTAGTGAGTCCCGGGCGCTGGCGTGTAGAGCGAGTGAGGCCGGTGTCGTAAGGGCTGCAGTAATGACCAAAGGTTTGGTAGACCGGAGCCTCTCCAACGAAAGATCGAGCTCGACGACTTTGCAGAATGCGAAGTCCTGAGACTTGCACTAGACCAAGGACTGCCTCGGCAGTGAGCACCGGACGTGACAGAAGGGCTAAAGCAAGAGCTTCAGAGCTTGCAACATCCAACACCGGCGTGGGCTGGGGAACTCGCCGAAGCTCATCTTCCTCCTCAGGCAGCAAGAAAGTCACTTTCTTTCGGCCTTTTGAGAAAAAAGGGGCTGGCGCGGCAGAGGACTGGCTCTGAGGAGGCGGTTCTGACTCTTGGCAGGAAGAACCCTCAACAGACTCAGGGGCGGAGAGAGTCGGGACTCCCCCGAACCCCGGCTCCGTTGACAGCGCAGCAACCCGAAAGCTGTGAGGCAGCCCACCCCTATCTGAAATAACCGTATGAAGATCAAAGACTAGCCAGAAAACCATATCCCCATCTTGCGGTGTCACAAAAGAGTACAAGGCTGCTCGGCCAGAGGCGCGGCACGAACGCACAGTCAAGGCGAGGTATTCCTCAGACTCCTCGGGAGTCTCTCGGTGCTGGTCTCTGGGAGAACGAGACCTTGAGCGCTCGGCAGGGGGGTCCCTCTCAGAAGAGGTGGCAGCCGGGTGGTCGTCTCCACGGCTCGACGAAGGTCTTTCCTCGAAGGCATCCTCTGGGTCCTCTGCAACCACAAAACGCAACTCTGGATCCTGGATCCAGTCTCGAAAACGCTGATCCCAAAGCACTTGCTCATGCTCATTGGGCGATGGAGGATAGACCGGCTCAACCTTCTCCCAGTACAGCGAGAGATTGCCACACACGAAGTTGTCAAAGTCTGGGAATTGTGCATTAAGTATCGATGCTTGCTCGGCTGTGACATAGGCATAGTAGATGTCCTCATCCTGAGAACCTCGGTCATGGACGTCATAGCCTGGAGTGCGAGGCCTATTGGTTACCATGGCTACACGGGGAGGAACGTCCTGGACCGGAGTCCACAGACTCAGACGAGCCTCCAAACCTCGAGCCTGAGCGCGGTCACCTGGGCAAGAATGCGAACCTGAGCGCGGTCACCTGGGCAAGAATGTGAGGTAGGTGGTTGTTCTGGCGAAACCTGCGCGCGGTCACCTGGGCAAGAATGCACGGTAGGTGGCTGTTCTGGCACAAGCGAAGAAACAACCGAAGAAAAACCATCCTCACACCCTCCCCCTCGCCGCTGCACGGCGATAGATGGACGAATGTCGGGCTGTTTGTCCCGAAGACGAGTGGGAGGGGGGCGGCCCGCGAACTCCCGAAGCTCAACTGCCTCGCCCACTTCCACAAGAACATCAGAGTGCAAGTAGCCTCCGTCGTCAGTCACAACAAGATGGCCACCTGGGACGTCCGGGGAGGGACACAACACTGTAACCATCAGTGCACGGCTCCCCCAAGAGCCCGCAGCAAGGCGTGACCAAGTGCGTCTGCGCAAAACAAGCCGAGCGCGCCAGGGCAAGAGCTTGGGAGAAGGCTGGCCAAGAGCACTGAGGGCAGCAGCACGAAGACGTGCAGTAACATGACGCATGGCAAAACTCCAGTCTGAAGTCGGAGCCGCATGGGCTTGCAACAAAGTGCGGGTGGCCCGCTTAAGCAACCGAACCGTATTCTCCGTACGGCCGTTGGCCTTGAAGTCGTCCCCACAAGTGGTGGTATGGGGGATGCAGTGAAAACGCGTAAATTGCGCCAAGGAGGCATTGCGGAATTCCAGGCCACGATCACTGTGAATGCGATGAAGGGGCAGACCCAAGGCACGGACCTGAGTGACAACCTGCATGACAGCTGCCGCAACGCCTTTGCCCGATTTGCTCACAAGCGGAACGAAGAACGGTATGTCCTGCATGGGCACGGCAGGAAGAGGAGAGTCCTTCCACTCATTCGTGAGGGCATCAAACTGCTGTTGCCACGCTTTATTTTCAGCATCAGCTGCCTCAGTCTGCGAAGGAGTGAGGGGATCACAAAGATTCTCAGGGTCAGCTGGAGCGTCCAAGACTGGTAACATGTCTTCACTGCCGTCACCTTCATCGCCAAACAGGTCGGCAAAGTATGGCTCTGAATCCAACAGTTCAGGAGGGGCTGAACCGGCAGCGGGTTCCTGGCTCGAGGTGTCAATAGAAGGCGCGGCAACACTCGAAGAGGAAGCGGCCTCTGGGGCAGGAGCGTGCGCGGGGTCAGAGTCACCTCGAGGGTCTGAGGGCTCGGCGCTAGGCTTAGGCATCTCGGGGGTCACTATTTTTGGAAATGCGTACACCCCGACTAAACCCCAACGGATCCGTTTTCCATCCTCGCTATCTCCAACAACGAGGGGTCCAATGAGGTCTAAACCTAACGTATAGGCTTGAGGTACAGGAATCCTCCGGTGAGTGAGGTTTGTGGGTAAACTCGCCCGCCAGGCAGTGAAAACAGTCACGCCGTCGAGGCATGTGGTCCTGAGCAAGGTGTTGCGCCCACTGGGCCTCCTGAGCCTTAGTCATGGCTGCACACAAAGGACCTTGCCGGGAGGTCTCGTCCTCAGAACCCGAAGCCGAGGATCCAGATCTAGATTGGGTGCGGGGACTGGGGCAGTCCCGTAACAAAGAAGCTTGGAAACCAACGAAATCTACAACAGCCTGACACAACCCTGGTGCCCATTTGCCCCAAGTCGTGGATGTTGTGAGCGAGCTGGAGCCAACAGATCCGCTAGACGGCGCTTGGCCCGGTCCACGCACAGGTTGTAGGGCCCAGCCCGGGCCTAGCAAAGCAAGCGTGGTGGGTTTCCTTTTGGCGTGGCCGAGTGGTCCCTGATCTAAAGAGAGCAGAGTGGGGCCTTCAGCCTGGCTCCATTCTTCAAAGGCGGACCAACGAAAGCATGAAGGGTAAGGCCTCCCTTCAGTATCGTGAGAGGCATCGAAGACTTGGGCCGGGTCCTCGGGCTGCTCCATGCCGAAACAGAAAGGTTCAGGGCCAGTCAAGTCTGGAGACTCTGAGCGGCGTAGAGCTCGACCGGCACGACGCGCTACCGAAGTCAACATGAACATACGGAGGTACAGGGCACTGTCCTGATCGACCATAGCCTGTGTGGCCGCACTGAGACCTGGGAGGCGCCAAGCATCACTTCCAACTCCGCGCACGGGAGGAGGGCCTGAGCTGAGGTGGTGAAGGGCACTGAAGGTTCTGCAGGGAGGACCCCCAATCACAGCACGCACCCTTCCAGTTTGAGCGAGGTGCAGGAGAAAACCAAAGGTGTCCTCACGCAGCAGGTCTTCTTCTATGTCAACCTCTAGAACATCCCACCCCAAGTTAGCCTGCGTAAGGCTTCGGAACAGACCTCGTGATTTGCCCGGAAAAAGGTGGATAATGAGGTGCTTGGCTCGGGACAGAGTTCGCCTCCGTCGGCGGTTCCACGGCGCAGCTTTCTTGCAGGGGGCAACAGCCAAGGTGGGCAAGAGCCTGACAGGAACCGAAGGAACTATCCCCTTAAACCACAAAGCCAGCTTATCACCGGACGGGTCCTGGAGGACGTCCTCAAACGAGGAAGTTGGGAGCTGAGTGAGCCTTGCGACCTGAGCTCGATTAACCCTTTTGGAGTTCTCGATCTCTGTGATCAGCCTGTTGGCCTCATTGGGGGTGATCTCGGGGCACCCAGTAGAGCAATCCAAAGGCAGGTCCGGCTGTCCTGGGCGCCAGATACGCATCTTGTTCACAGACAAGAAAGTCATGCGGTAGCCGATTCGGATCAGCTCATGCAGGGCGACGATAGGATCACAAGACGAGCCTGGTGGCAGCAAAAGAGTGCCTGCCGGGGACACACGAGCGGTCACTTCGCCCACAGCTAATCGAATGGAAGTAGGAGTGGACTCATTCCATTCAAAGGTGTTCTTGGCTGAACGCAGACAGCACGTAGCCCCACCATCAATGAGCCCCTTACCGTTGGAGCTCAGGGCACCTGACACCTGGTTGCCTGGCTCGGCGGACCTGATAGCCTTGAGGAGCTCCTGGCGAAGGGAGGAAGCTGCATCACGAATGGCCTGGGCTGCAGAGGGTCCCAAAGTAGAGCCAGCTGCTTCCGACTCCTGCGATTGCGCCTCACCTGCACCTGGAGAGGGTTTATCGGCTTGGGTTCTGCGAACAGCCTTCTTAGCATCAGCCTTGGCCTTGGCAGCAGCATAGCCCCCTGGGGAAGTGCATTCACTCTTAAGGTGTTTGCCTCCGCAGTTGAAGCACCGGCCAGACATTCCGGTGTGAGTCTGGTGAACATACTTGCATGTGTTACCTCTAGGGCAGCCCTTCTCAGAGGAAAACTGGCGGCACACCTCCTTTTCGACCCCCTCGTTGGGTTTCCCACCTTTCTCCTTCCCTTTTCCTTTACCTTTAGGCTCCTCGGGCTTATCAGCCGCAGGCGCCTCAAGGGCAGCAACTCGCTGCTTCTTGGGATCAGGAGCTACCAACAGAAGAGTCTCAAGCTCAGCAAGGTACAACTGGGCCAGGGAAACTGAGGAGTCTTGTGAAGGAAGGTGGTCGATGCTGTTCTGCAGACGAAATGCCTGAACTCGAAACACCCCCGAAGGGTCAGAGAGGAAAGCAGCACCCAGCTTGTCAACCGCCTTGACTAAAAGGGAGGCGTCCGGAGGAGCAAGCTGCAGCTCAGTGGAGCGAGCAAGCCAACGCAACCAACGTCTCAAGTTTTTAACTGCCTGTTGAGTGTCCTTTGGAGCGTCAGGGCTGACAAGGAACTGGAGAATCGAAGCTTTTTCAGCCTGCCCGGCAGGCTGATACCGGGTGTGCAACAAGAACAGAATGCCGACTGTAGTCAAAGCCCGCACCGTGATCACTTCAGTCTTGACCGCACTAGGGACGGCCTCCAGCAGCAGTGTGGTTAGGCGCTGCTCAAGCAGAGCGGTGCCTCCCTGGGATGAGGCGTTGGCACCATCAGCAATGGCTCTTGTCCGGATCGTGAGACGGGTGACCGGGTCACTGGCTAACCACAAAGCATAATGCTCATTAACCCGGGCTAAGACCTCAGCAAACCAACTGGCGGCGCCAGGGGTGAGGGAGCCTATCACCGGAGTTATGGTAACCAGCCAGTCCCCTCTGATTACTGCTCCTTGGTCAGGCGTGTAATCTTCGAGCTTAGGCAAAGCCTGGACATACCTGCTGGGCTCCTCCGACTTGGCAGAGAGAGGCAAAGCCGGCACCGGAGGGCGAAACACGGTGGGAGGAGGGGTCGAAGACCTCACTCCACTAGTAGCTGGAATCTCCTCCACCTGGAAGTTCAGCATTGGTGGAGCTCTCGGAGGCGAGGGACTCGGAACTCGGAGCATCGGTGGAGGAGTCCTAGGAGGGTCACTGTCAGGCGGTCTAATCTCAGAACCTGCCGGGGTTAAGGGATAACGCACAATCCTGCGCTTCACCGGCGTCACCGGGCGCTCGGCAACAGGCGAGGCCAGGCGGGCCGCACGGAGCCGGCTCCCCAATGAAGAAGTGTTGAGGGTGGCCTTGTTGAGAGGCAGCTGAGTGGAACGAGGCCTGCGACCCATCGTCCCGGCGAACCTCTCGTTCTGCAAAGGCTGGAAAGGCACCTGGATGTATGGAGTGACCCGGCCACGGGGAAAAACTTGGCGTAGGCCCCAACACATTGCCTGGCGTAAGAAACCTCAACGCCTCATGAGCCCCAACCTGACTGGACACCCCCCTTTGCACCTGAGGGCCTTCCACACCTTGCACAACTGGAAAAGCCTCAACAGCCCCTGAAGTCTGGACCCCAGCTGCCTGTGGACCTGAAGCATCTGTGGCCCTGCAGCCTGCGACACCTGAGACCTGAGTGCTTGCGGGAAAACCTGCGGCACCTGAGACCTGAGTGCTTATGGGAAAACCTGCGGCACCTGAAACCTGAGTGCTTGCAGCAGGAAAACCTGCAGCTTCCTGGACCTGAGCGCTTGCGGGAAAACCTGCGACACCTGAGACCTGAGTGCTTGCAGCAGGAAAACCTGCAGCTTCTTGGACCTGAGCGCTTGCACGAAGAAAACCTGGGGCATCCTGCACCTGAGTGCTTGCTGCGGGAAAACCTGTGGCACCTTGGACCTGAGTGCTTGCGGCGGGAAAACCTGTGGCGTTCTGCAGAGTTGGAAGCTCATAGCCCGGCACTGCAACAGGCATCCACCCTTGAGGGACCCATGGCTGCTGTGGTGGGAGCTGAGAGAAGGCCGGTCCTGGAGAACCACTAAACCCTATCCCAAAACCACCCCAAGGCCCCAAAGGCTCAGACCTGCGGGAGGCCGAGGCCCTGCTCGCACGTGTGGTGTGCGAGCCTCCTTGACTTCTTCGCTCATCGTCCATCCGCACCAGCATAGCCTCCATCAGACCAGTCAGACGATCCAAACGAGCGTCTGTCGTGCCAGCCGAGGCAGTGCTCGGGGCTCTTCGTCGCACGTCTCGAGCCACGGTTCGCCCTCTTTCCATCGAAGACAAAGAAGTCGAAAGACGCATAGGTGAATCTGCAGCAGCCTCCAAAGCTGCCGCAGTAGTGGTCTCTCCAGGGCCTGTACCAGTCGCGACTGCGCCAATCGAGGCCGCTCCAGGGCCTGTGCCACCAGTCTGCCACCAGTGACCACTCCAGGGTCCATTGCCTCCAGAACCACTGTAGCCACCGGCCTCCCAGAGGGGCCCAAGGATAAGTCACTATAAGCAGGCTCCAAAACTTCGTCGTCCACCTGCGCCTCACGCGGAGTTTCACGAGGAGTGCCCATGGAACCGCTTGGGCTCATAACCCACAAATCAGAAACTTCAAGAAACCCTGCCTTGAGCCTCAATCCTTTCACCTCCTAGCCCTGAATCCCTGAACGAACGACCCCCAACCCTTGACAACCCTGAACACCCGGAACAGGAGCACGGGACAAGGGGACCAGGAAAGGGACAGGACTAGGGTACCAGGAAGGGGAAAGCCAAACCCAACCCAGAAACCAAAATTCAAAAACCTCCACCCCCATTCCAGGAGTGCTTTTCACTTGAGCCACGGCCCGGTTTGTGTGTGTCATCCTTGCGTAGGGGCTTGCATTTCTGCTAAACTAATGGGTTTGTCATGCTGAGCTCCGCCGTCGCACCCTACCGGATTAAACCAACCTACCTGCCTCCCCACCTGATCCCGAACAGAACCTCAGCAGCAGCACTACCTGGCACCTTCCCACCCCCGAAACCTCTACCATGGCAGCCGTTTATGCCCACTCTATATTGTTGGGCGTGTCAGCGGTGTCCCCGTGGCAGTGCAACAACAAGGGCCCCCGACCGACATTAAAAGAAAACGAGCAAATACTATAGACATTAAGCCACGTGTGGTTCGGCTGGCTTTGCCCCAAACCCCGAGCAAGCAAGCAAGCAAGAAAGATAGAGCCAGCAAACAGCCCAGCAAAAAGAAAAAGAGAGGATTGCTACAGTAGGCTTGCCCTAAGTCTTGCAGCGAGCAAGCAAGAGAGAGAGAGAGAGAGAGATGTTGCGCCGGATAACTTGCGACCCTGGAACAGAAGGGGCCCAAAGCTATCTGGGCTTTTGACACGGATGGAGAGCCCAGTTCTGCAGTTAGTAGGTATACTGTCGTGCCACGTTGTTTTAGTCTTGCTTTTGGGGGGGACGGGGCCCGAATCCCGAAAACAGTTTTGGAGACAGAACAGGCGTCGTCCTGGTGAGACGCGGCTGGGGGGTGGATTCGAAGAAGTGTTCCAGCAAAGGGGGGTTGTGTCGGAGAAGAAGCTCTTGCCCTTGCGAAAGAGAGGGAGAGAGAAAGGTCGCGCCTCACCTCTTTACCCTTGCGAAAGAGAGAAAGAGAGAGAGAGAGAGAGAGAGAGACAGGGAGAGATAAACCCTCTCACCTTAGTCCTGGCGAAAGAAAGAGATAGATAGATAGAGAGAGAGAGAGAGAGAGAGAGAGAGAGAGAGAGTGAGAGAGTGAGAGAAAGAGATATCCACAGCCCTGGCGAAAGAAAGAGAGAAAGAGAGAGAGAGAGAGCTGGACCGCACTTTCCCTCATGGCTGGCAGAGAGAGAGAGGGTTGGAGCCAGAAAGAGAGAGCCTAGCCGCTCCTCCAGCCTTAACCGCCTTAAACCTTCGGAAAAAAAGAGAGAGCCTAGCATCTCGAACATCGCCGCGGGAGAAGAGAGCTTAGGCCGTGGGTTTACAGCTCACTCCACTCCAAAACGGGGTGTGCACTAGCACGGGGGCGGGGGAGAAACCCTTCTTCGAGTCTTTCAGAAATACAGAGAGTGGCCTGCACCTTTCAATGGTACATGCATCATGGACGCTGGCCTGATTGAGGCTCGCAAGCGGATGTCGTTGGCTGTCCGTGGGCAAGGCCGCGGAGCACTCTGTGTTGCTTGTGTTGGCAACCTGCCAGGCCTACTTGCATCGGTGGAGACAAGGATATGCGGGTGTTCCTTGAAATGTGCCTTACTGCATCAGGCCGGCCTGCCGCGCCATTCGTCACAGGAAGGCGATGAGGGCGTCTGTTTAGACAGTCGAGAATCAGACATGGATGGGTTCAAAGATCGACACTGCACCCCAAGTCTAGGTCACCCAACCCGGGTTCAAAAACGCTATTTCAGCTGCACGGCACTGACTTTCATTACTTTCTGTTGAACATGCGCTAGCTGAGTATCACAGGACTTCTTGGACCAGCCTTTCAAGGTTCTGCGCAGACCTCTGCTGCGTGGAGATCTTAGCGACTTACACCCCTGTGTCATAGAACCGGGCCCCTGCTCCAAGGCTCGATGACCGTCCAGTGCTAGCTGACAACTTCGACATCCGGGACAGCACGGAGGCAAAGAGTGTTCCGAGGCGCGGCAAGCATGGGCAAGCTGGGCCGGCTCGAGCAGTGCACGTGAGGCAGAAACAGGAGCCGCAACCGATCCCCACACCTTCGTTGCCTGAGCAACGGGCCGAGCTTTCGCGTGAGGACAGGCAAGAGCGAGCCGGGTCATCCGGGCCTCCACCCCAGCCCCAATAGCCCCAATCCTAAACCCGTAAGAGTGCAAGTTTTCACAGTACGAGCGTCTCAGCTCCGCAAAAAGCGTCCACGAGGTTCGCGGGCCCCACCCCCAGCCGCCGAGCTGCCTTGGCTCTGCAGGTCCCGGAGGCCAAATCCCGCGAAAGGAAGTTTCCGTGTGGTGTGTGACCGGTGGTGTGGCCATGCCAGGCGATCCCGACGATGCACGCCGGGCATCAAGCACGACTTCCTTTAGACCTCGAGCCTCGCCAGAGGCGACGAGTGGGGTTTGGAGCTCGGCTTTCTGTATTTTCTGTGCTTCGCTGGGCTAGGCGCCAACCGGAAGAGTCCTGGGAACCGGAACTCCAGAAGGAGGCCTTCCGTCGGGCGTGCTCTGGGCTTCGGGTATCGGGCTGTGAGAGGCTGCAGGCCTCAGCTCTTTGCAGGTCGCATGCAAGCGGATTGCAAGACTCAGAGTAACAGAGTAACTGAGTAACTGCTTGTGTTGTGCCAGTTCCGCTTGGCCTTCCAGCAAGCAAGCCAGACGCTGCAAGAGCAGCAGGCAGAGGAGGTCCTTGGACTTCGGACTTGACACACTCCCCTATCAAGCCACTTAGCATCTCAGTGATTCCGATGCAACAGGATGAGCGGCAGTGGGTAAGTATAGTCCGAGCCTTTGAATGCAGTTGCGGTCCTTCGTTTGTTCCAACACTCTTTCCTCCCTTGGAGCCCCCCAGGTTCGTAAATTGCAAGGCCGCTGGGAGGCCGGGTTGTCCAAAGAAGCACATGTTTGCGCAAGTTGCTTAAACAAGCTTCTGCTTTGATTTTCTAAGTGCTCCTTGTCAAATTAAAATAAATGCGCATTGATCTAGAGTCTAGAGGTCCTTGTCTCGGATTTATATGAAACGACTTTCAGATGTAATTACATAAAGGCAAGGTGTTTGCGAAAGCTCCGCGGAAGCAATAGTCCGCCAATGGTGTTAAGTAACAGACTTGGGACATAGAAGACTTGTAAAAAAATGCAATCCTTCTGCAGGTGTACAGGTCCCAAGCCCGTTGTTGCGCAATGCCGCAGTACACCGGGTTGCAAGACGACGCACAGACGCAGCTGGCAGTCGCCTTCAACAGGGTTTCGTCGTCCTCATCAACATCACTACTACCATCACCGTCCTAACAGTAATGAACCATAAACCCGTAACCCTCAACCCCAGACTCGCCTGTGTTGCCCGAGTCTCGACAGTCCAAACCCTAAGCGCTTGGACGCGAAACAGTGGACTTGTGTGGGTTTCTGCCTCAGCGACCCTGCCGCCCGGGCAGGGTAGGAGCAGGACACAGTTGTAATACCAGCCAACATCAGAGTGTTTCATCTTTTTGGGAAATAGTTTCATTGCAGGTTCTCCCTGGAAGGTCCGCGAACTCCGCCGTGAAACGGCTCGGCTTTTGAGGCTATGGCTCACGACTACAATGTGACTACAGAAACAGCCACAACCACCACCACCGCCATCACCAAGACGAGGGGCGCGACGACGACCACCACCACCACCACCACCACGACCACCACCACCACGATTACTGATTACTACTACTACTACTACTACTACCACCACCACTACTACTACTACTACTACTACTACTACCACTAACTGCACGACGGACGGCGAAAGACGAGGGCGACACTTAAGTATGGGATACCCCACACACTATT